GGGGGGGGGGGGGGGGGGGGGGGGGGGAGGTACTGGGTCCCTGGCACCAGGTACCGGGACCCTTCACACACTACTTTAAATTCACATAAAACCCTTGTCTCGTGAGGAAAAGTGAACATTTTACCCTAAAAATTTCACAAAATGAGAATATATTGTCAAAAACACGCTGGAGCACCAGGGCCGGATTTACCTACTTGCCGCCCATGGGCCGCCTGTATTTTGCCGCCTCCTTAATCTAATTCGTTTTGAAACATCAATAAAAACCATCAAGTGAACGTGCAGCGGGGGAGGGGGGGGGTGTAAAAGACGCATTTACTCGTGTTGGACACATTTTTTGCGAAGCCCTGTCAACATTACTAGCAAAAGTCCACAGAAATTTGCGCGGAAGTTAAGTTCCGTAAACCTATCGCTGTGTGGACATGGACAAGGCCTTCCATTTAAAAGAAATGAACGGAAAAAGTATGAAAGAACAAACTGACCGCACTGTGTTTGGCGCAATTCACGCAGTCTTGTAGGCGCTATGCGTTTCACGCTGAACGTTGCTGACCGCACTGTGTTTGACGCAATGCGTGAAGTATTCGTGCAGTCTTGTAGGCGCTAATATGTGTTACACGCCGACCGCCGCGTCGAGGGAGCTTCTCCTTTTCATCTCAAGTCAAAAATCAGCCTTTCCTGCTTGTGAAATTTCTCATGATGCCTACATATGCATTGTCTTTCTATAGAATAAATCCCTGAAACTTTGAAATTCTATTTATTTTTATTTATGTTTGGGTAAAAATAAAGAGAAAGAGATATAATAATGAAAATACTATAGTCGAGCTATTCATTTCATTCCGATTTTTCAGTGTTCAGTTTGTTTTTTTCAGTACTCCTGTTCCTGAGTTTCTCGTGCAACATGGCAGTATGGTTTCACTCAAAAACACTCAGAAATATCTACGAAGATGAGGAAGAGTCTCAAAGAAAGGATGATCTCTCCTCAAAAAGAAACATTGATTACTTCTCAGACACCAACTTTTAGAAAGAATTTGTAGCTTTAATTGTGCCCCTGTCCAACAGTTTGATCATGTTGGTAGTTGCGCATAATAATGATGTAACAAGGAAGGTGGCCTTAGCGCAACCGTTCTGCAGCTAGTTTGTTCTACTGTTCTTCAATGATTTTCCTGGTTTTACAACATACTTCAATGTGATACTTTAAGTTTAACCATTAAACCAGAAACTAGAGTTTGAGAAAAATATAGGTTTTAAGTGACATCCAGTTGAAACTGATGGCAATCAGGGTGAATTTGTCCAATGTGTTTAATTTTTACTCAAGGTTTGGAGTTTCAGAGTAGCTGTGCTGTAGGATGTGGGGTTGAGAAAATGCATTATTCATTCAGTTTATGAATTGTCCTAATAATGATATACCCTTCATGGGGCCTCTCATATTCCCTTCAATGTCTTGTAAACTGCATTGATAAATCTGAATACTGAAGTTTTGATTTCTCTGAGCCCTTCCATGGCTTTTGAGGCTCCAAAAATACCTACTGCTGCCACTTCTACAAAAATTGTTTTATGGTCTTCAGGGGCCCGTACATCACTTCTGAGGCCCCCGAACTACTTGGGTACCCATGTATGTTTTAAATTGGAGCCTTCAACAGCCCTTTAAGGTAGCTCTTAGATACACATTTTAAGAACTTAGGGGTCTTAAAGAGACTGTTAATGATTCTACAACAATGAAATTGCAGAGAAATGCATATCAATCTGGGGGGAAAATTGCTGCTGAAAAATTCACTTTTTAGCCCTACTTTCCTCGAAATTGGCACATAGAAAGTTTGATTTTGAAATTTTGCTCTTTTTGCTCAGTAGATCAGCAGGATAGGCAACAAACCATCCGATGAAGATGGATGATCAGCAACACAAAAAATGAGGGGTGAGGGTTTGGGGTTTGCTGTGTTGTGTTTGAAAGACATCAAGATTGGGTGAGTAACTGAGGCCACGCTTCAATTACTTAGTTGTATCATGAACCCAAGGATCATAATTAACAATGTGATGCTTCTTCTAGAATATTTGAATTTGAAATGAAGCTTCAATTGAACAAGAGTCATAGGAAAAAGACGATAATTTTTAGGAGCACCAAATTAGGCATGTATTTATTTTTATTTACACAAAATCACAAACTGCAACGGAATAAAAATGACTGACGTACATCAAATAAATTTCATAAATACATTTAAGACAGCAGAGCACTGATAAAATACAGTGCAAATAGGAAAATTTTTGATCCTTAGTGCCTAGTCTAACAAATTCTATTATTTACAACAAAAAAAAAATGTAAAAATTAGAATGCTTATCTAACTTAATGGCAACTATGTTCAACAAGCACATTTGGTTAGTTCCAATCTGTATGTATCAAGGTGAGTCACGGGTTTTCCGGTACCTGTGTAAAATCATTCAAGGACTCTGTAAAACTTGTGTACATGTATAACTCACATAAAATATCAATTCAAGAATCTCGTTCTGGAACAGCAAAAAAGTAGCACAGCTCAAAACAATGGTTGTCAAAACATAAAAATTTAAATTGGTCCTCTGCCAACTATCATCAAGGTCAATAAGTATTCAAACATTTTTCAATTTTTCAAAAAAAACATTTTTCAAAACTTTTTAATTTTTTAAGGTCAATAAGGGCGTGCCTTCAGCTATTAACAATTTTGAAGTTTCTCCATTTTAATGCATTGGAATATTTAAAATGTATGTATACATCAGTTTGTAAGAAAACAAGTCAGTGACATTCATGATTCCAATGACAAGAAATTGCCCTTCATTCGACAAATTTAGACTCAGAGGTTCTGAATAACTGTTCTAGGATTCTGGATAAAAAAAGATGAAGAGCAGAAACTGTTTTATCCATATGGACGTATTTAAATCAAAATTAATTTTCTCCATTGTGACTTGCACCCTGACACCCATAAGATTCATTCATGACACAGCCCAAGTCACTATAGAGATGTTTCCTTTTGATTTAAGAACGCCCATATTAAAAAGAAGTAAAATTGTAAAAAGGTATAGATACAAATCTCAACATAAATTTTCATTTAATTTTAAAATTTTAGAGAAATTCAATCCATTGAGACATTTACAATTACATGATGAAAACTCTTCAAAACTGAAGTTATATAGTTCTGATGAAGGAGCTGCGGCAAAAAAAAGTAAGTTTTGAGAGAAATTTGATTTAAAGGGGGAAAAAAAATATCAATTAGGCGAGGCTTATGCGACTAAACTGCACAGAAATGCATTCGGGTTTCTTTCATATGGATAACTGGGTGTTAGAAAAAAAGAAAAAGAGACTCTTAAGGCATCAGGAAAAATTTTAAGAGCCGATCGGCTCTTACAAACTTACAAATCGGCTTTCTTAAGAGAAGAACTCATAACATGATTGTAATAGCAGAGTGTACCCAGGCTGAGAGGCATTTGTCTCCTTTCTCTGTTGTTGTTGTTTATTAAAATATTCTTTTACAGTGTTGATGAAAAATATTTATGAATGTTCATAAATCAATCATCTTTTCAAAAATTGTCTATAGATATATGAATTTTAGAACCTTTACAACTTGTGTCAAGGTCATGACCTTTTACGACTACAATGTACAAAATTTGTAATATAAATGAGTAAAATAAAAAAATTGGGAAGGAGCATTTTTTAACTTCATTTTGATTATGCATTATTGTCCAACCAAATATGTATTATTTTCTTAGATATGCTTAGATGATATTTCTTAGGTATTCTTCATTTAGAAAGTGCATGCTATCGATACTGATAAATTTGGCGGGGGGGTGTGTGTGGATGCAACATAGGAGAACGAGAAATACATCATAATTTCAATGCTTACAGTGCATATTTACGATGTTGCAATTGCCGTACCTCTTAGAGTCTTTGAGGTTCTATTTTACTTTTCAACCATTCTTGGTGCTACAACACTTTTGAATTGTGCTTGAAACAATCGATGGAAATTCTTTTGCTGGTTAGGAAAAATTAAAAAAAAAAACCACTCTGAATAGACAAGATTCTGAGTTGTTGAAAAACAAATCCTTTCAGCATCACCAACATGATACAGTACTACTAATGGAACACTCATCAATTTTATGCACTTAGTTAAAATTCGTTTTATCACTGGATCACTTGTCCACACTATTCCCATCATGGGAAGCTTGTTCACAAAGACTGAGTTCAAAGATAGCTGACGACAAGAACTGCCTTCAAGTTGGTGACTCGTTGAGCGTTTCTTTTAATGCTAGAAGCTGCTCTTCGCCCAACTGAATCTTATCGTTGATTTCCCTGGAGTCGATTAGTAATTTTGCTTTCATATTGATGAAGTGATCATAGTCTGCATACTCCTCTGCCGAGAGATATCGGTATAACATAGCAGAGACACTCGTACTTCGTTTGTCTATATTTTCTTTCAGTAGTTTTGCCTCTTCGAGTTGACCTAGTAGCTTATCACGCTTTTCTTCCAAAGTTTTCTGTAAACATACCGACATAATTTAGTCGTCACATTTGATGATAAAAAACACACATCAAAAAATGAAAGAGGTGAAGATTTGTATTCTTTGGAAAAGGCATCAATGAAAGTATCTTATTTATTGATGGACCAAAAACGTAGGCGGTTTGAGTAGTTGATACATATTTGGTTAATTTTTTTAATTCAATCCGAGAGGCAAAATAATTCGTTTTGTAACGTTTTAAATAACTCATGCACATGACTTTTGCTGTCATGATATAAATCGTGGGTTCAGTCATTTATTTTTTGCTGTAGTAGTACATATCGACAGTAAAACTTCCTAAGCACATATCTCAGTTTTGAACTTTGCAGACTTCATGTCATCCTTTATTTTCTTCATGGAAAACTACCCAACATCTATTATTAAGAACTTCCACGGTTTTTATTCTCTGAGAGTTTTTCTCTCTTTTTCCTCTCCCCCCGCCTTGAGACCAAGGCTTAATCGATGAGGACAATACTTAGCCCATTCCTCTCCTCCACTTTCTTCTTCTTCAAAGTCCTGGGTTAGTAGGAGAGGCATAATGTTTGATACCCAGGGTTTATAATCAGTACCTTGAAAAAACTGATTTTACCAAATTATCTTTCGTCCTAAAAAATGTGTTAGAATATCATAGTTTTTTAGAAAATAGAAATAAAGAGAAAAAAATACTTACTCTATCACTATGATCCGTTGGTAAACTAAGTAGAGCATTTTCTGCACGTGCCAATCGCCCAGATAAACCTAATAGAAGACTAGTAATGTGGCCAATTTCTTGCACGTGCAACTTGAACTTGGCAGATTCATGGGGCCGAGCAAGGCTGTTGACTCGCTTGCTAACGTTTTCACCTAATAAATCGTTCATTTTGCCTTCCTCGGCAACAGCAAGAGCTTCTTCACGTAGTACATTTAACTTCCTGTCTAACCTTGAAACTAGTTCAGCCTGGAACACAAATTTGAGAATCATTAAAAAAGTGAAATGCATGATTGCTTATCTGAAGTAGTGCAATATCAACTGACGCAAGGTAGGTAGGAGTAGATCTTGCAAAATGAAAAATTACTCAAAACTTCTAGCAAACGCAAAAACCAACTATGATACCATTTCATATATTTCAAAGAGGATGGTATATTATCTTTTTGAACCTTTTAAAGGTATGAAGCAGTCAGAGGTCTTGAAAATGCAGCCATTCCTTAAAATGTATGCTTTTGCAAAAATGAAAGGAGAAAAATAGAAAACTAAAAAAAAATTAGACAAACTTTCTGAGATCAAGGGGATGGTATCAGGTGCCCCAACATTTTAATAAAAAAAGATCACCTCTACAATGATTAGATTGCATTTTGCATAAAGGAACCAAGAGCATTCCAATGTCGCTAAGACGGTGCAACTTTTTCACCTTGCAAATATAAACTGATCATTGAAACTATTTTTATCTTTACTCCTAATAAACTATACTCAAATTCAAGACAAAAATCACCTTTGTAAATTTAATTTCTTGCATGATTTCAGTAATTTAATTTCAAATAATGTAAGTTGCACAATCCTAGCAAGCAACATTGGAATGCTCTTGGTTCCTTTTTGCAAAATTCAATCCAATTGGAAATTCTCTTCAGTTCCCTATAAAAAATTTCTGGTTACCCCGTGTCCATGTACATTGTACCCTTTTGTCAGTGTCACATTTTTTTTTACTTCCGCACAGCTTTCATACTTAGCAGCTCCTATACTTACCCATTTTGTTCCAAAAACCCAGAAGTTATACAGATAGTGAGAAAAGAAAAAAAATATATAGCTTATACATAGCTGAATACAAGCTGCCAGCCAATTACGACAATTTCATGGCAAATGATTACTGATTCTTAAAAATTTCAATCAATTTAACTAATAGAGAATAATAAGATAAAATAAATTAATTATAAAAATAAATATGTAAAAATATGTATGTACTTAATATACTTAAAAATATATGATGCACTGCAATCATTGCATCTTCCAACAGTGAATATTAAGAGACAGAGAAAAGTACAAAGAAATTTTACAGGCCAAAAATATGGAAGGAAAAAATAACAATTTTACGGCTTCATCTAAAATTATGTAATGTTAAAAACAAACCTAGGGAACTTTAAATATAATAAAGGAGGATTACTTCTCACTTGATCATTCTTGCATACCAACAAAAAAAAAACAAACAAACAAAAAACAAACAAAAAAACAAAAAAAATGCTTAAGCCCACAAGGAAATTGTGATGCAGAATACAACCATAAGATGATGATACCTTCAAAGTAGACTTTACTTACATTAAAGAATTTTATTCTATAAACGGACATGAGTCTTAGACCTTTCAAGTAAAAATTCCACCGTCAACAACAAATAAAAGTAGACTTGTTCATGTGCTATCACTTGAATACTTAATGATGGACAAAACACCATAATTTTGACAAAACTTTAAATGATCATATTATATAGTTTCAAAAAATCATTTTATGAGCTTCATGAAGTGTTCAGTATTAATCTAATAAACCCAGAAAGCAAGAGGCAGAATAAAATTTTTCAAAAATCAATTTTAAAAAAAAAATTAAGAAGAAAGACTTTTCTGAGATTACAGTAGACTTCCTCTACACTAGGCATATGTGTTCACTGAATTGCAAGCAAGAAATCGAGTAAATCGAGTAAACAATGGAAATTTAACACTTCAGACTCATTCAAAATTAATTGCTGTGACTGAAAAAACTTTGCTGCGCTGGAGAAGACTCACCGGATTTTTGAATCTGGCTCATTTGTCAAAATTAGTTGATCGGCTCTCAAAAATTCAAAAACGAATTTTATTGGCACAAATCTTTGTAGCAATTGATGTTGCACAACTCTTTGTGTCAATTTATGTCACAAAAATTCCTAGTAGAGAGGAGGCCTTTAAAATAAAAATAACTTGAAGAGTCGGTCGGTGTCTCAACTTATTTTCAAATGCTTTCTTTCTATCAGTCACAATTTTTTCGGGTAACAAAATGTTTCCTTTGATAAAAGTAAAAGTTTTTTTCCGAATGTAGATGAGAGGGAAAATCGGCAAAATTTCAATAAATTTTGCAAAATAATAATTGAATAGATGCGTGGAAAATAATTCTTTCATAGGTAGTAAATGTCTTTGAGCAGATTCTGACGTGTTCCAAACTGAGGAGCGAGTCCTTTGCAAATGGTGCGATGTGCAGACGTGATTGACGAGTGTAACTCTAGTCACAATACGTATAAAAATGTGGCATAAAGTGACACCCGCAACCACATGCTGCATTCCATAAAGCAGAGCACAAGATGATGAGAAGAGTCCAAAAGACTTGCTTTGACTGCAAAACGATCCATTGAAGTGATTTTGTGGTTTGATCACACCAAGTTGACTTCTCTTCATAAACAAATAATGTCAAACTTTGTCATGGTAAAATACAATTAAAAAAATGGATTAATTTCAGAAAAAATATGATATAGTAATAAAGACAAACCTTTTTCTGATGCAGGTTTCCAAGCACATTTTCTTGCTCTGATTGAGTTTGACTGCAAAGATTTATTAACTTAGCTTTACACTCTGACGTTGTAAAGTAAGTTGAATTGGCAGGTAGAACATTTTCTTGGGAACTGAAAATGAAAATTATTTTCATCATAAATACGATAGTGGATGGTTAAAAACAAATCAATGTAACCCATTTTGCAAAACCAAAATCTACCCTGATAATACTTTGAAAGTTCACAGGCTTCAAGGATTTTTGATTGCTCTCTTATCATTGAAATCAGATTTTTCGAAGTCAACCAGCAAAGATCATCAAATTTTCTATTTAACCAGTTCTGGGATGCTACAAACGGTCATCAATCCAACTAAAAAATATTTATCGAATAATCTTGAGCAGCTCTGCTTTGTTAGGAGCAACACACTTTAAAAATGGCTGTATCTATTAAAATTGTCATCTCTCGCATGGAAGATTGTATGTCAGTTGCGCTGTTTCAGAAATTCTTACTTACATTTAAATCTTTCATAAGAGAGCCATCACATGAATTTTTCTGAAATTTTCAGTGATTGTTTTCACCCTTGTGAAGAAAGACTCTTGAATTTGTGAACTGATTTGTACTGCAGTTCACTAGAGGCTAACTCTATGCATTTTATTAAAATAAGCGACTAAATTTCACAGCAAGTCTCTAGCTTTTCTTTCATTCTTCCAAATTGGGAAGGTTTCTTCGAAGGTGAAGGATCCGTTTCGGAAAAACAGGATCATTCCATACCAGCCTTGTTAACGCAGCAGCAGAGAAAAAAACCCCAGTTTTCTTATGAAAAAATAAAATGCTAGAAATATTGAAACACTACAGACGAGATACTGTTCTTCATGAGGAAGTCAAAAAAATGTATAGGGTTCCAATCGAACAACAGCATTTTGGATTGTATGTGATGAGAAGAAACCGAGATGTTGTGAAAAAATTTACTTTATTTTACCGAGGGACTTTTCAGCTTACGCCATCATCAGAACAGTATGAAAATTCTTGAGCACTAACATATTAACAGTTAGAAATTTCACATCGCAAATATATAACGGTGTCACTATTAAACCATTAGACATGATAAGAAATTTCGAACTGTGAATTTGCTTGTGCTCAAGAATTTTTATATTGCTCTGATGATGATGTCAGCCAGAAAGTGCTTCAGTGCAATTACAGAAATTTATCCACAACACCTCGGTTTCTTCTCTGACATACGATGACAAAATATACAAGCCTCACTGAGGTTGCCTAGGTTCCAACTCTCTGTGATACTGATCTGTTCTCAGTGCTGGTCTACCTTCCAGTACTAATAGACAGTAAAATAAACTTACATGTCTAAAGCTCAGCTATATGTCAACTTTAAAAAGTCTAGTAGTTATCAATTTCTCTTAATCATCAATGCACTATTCTTTCAGAGACTTTTTACAAGTTGACAGGGCATTTCTGACCATGGGTAAAAATATATTTAAAAAAAAAAAACCGGACCAAACAAAGAAAAAAACGAGAGAAATTAGCTCTCAAAACTTACTCAGGAAGAGAAATTTTATCCTGTTCTGCTGGTAAAGACTGCTCTGCTATTGCAATGGATGAACGAGACCGTGGCACAATATCAAGTTTGAATAATCCTGACACATAATCTGTGGATTTCTTGACATCTGGACCAGGAGCTAAGGAACAAAAATAGGTTGTTTAAAATAACAAAAAATAAATAATGAAAAGAAATTACAATATATACTCACTTGGCAAAGTAAATAATTCTACCAACCGCAAAATTTCAGTTGAGAACGAAACAAGATTTAAATTCCATGATCAGTTTTTGGACAAAACTAATAAAGTTATATTTAGCGGATAACAGCTCTATCTGAATTGAAATAACCACAAAAAGGTAATTCCCAATTTATGAGTTTGCTTTTTAAAATTAACACAGTATTGCTCATCCGACTTGTCAGACGGAAGACCTGGTGCTTAAAACTTTCAATTGAGATTAAAGGAGGAAAAATATTTATTATCCTGGACAGATAACGAGTTGGTTTGTTTGGATGGCTCCAAACGTTTGGAAATTCAAAAAGCAATTTGAATTTCTAAAACCAACCATTAATTTCTGGCACATAAGGATTAAGTATATCCAAGATTTTTAAATTTTCCTGTTTCGCTGCAAAATTCAACAAACTAGTGAATAAGAAAAAATCAAAAAATTTGCTTCATGGTTAATAACGCTGCACACAATAAAAGTGAAACATGCTTCATTCAGTATTAGTCTTACCTGATGATTTCTCACTTCCTTTTTCCAGAAAATTTGAAGCATGTGCAAGGGCAGAAAAATCATACTCTTAATCCTTTTTCTTTGCATTGTAATTGATTTGACGATCCAAGAATGTTTTTGAAGAATAATTCATTTTTTGGCCAAAAAATATTCACATGGGACCGTCGACATGAAGTCGTGAACCTTTGCTGATTAGGCTGACATTCTTGCTGATTAACATTTTTAACTATACAACAAATCGTGAATGCCTGAAATTTTACTTCTTCGCCAAGCATGGTTCACGATCTTGACAAAATGTCTACACTCAACTAGGTACTTAACTTTTTAATGTAAGGAAATCTAATGAGTTCTCAAGAGGCCCAACAACGGAAATCAAAATAGTTTAAATGAAAATGGGGGATCATTCAATTTTTACCTAAATTTGCAGAGCAAATTATTTATTTATTTTTTAAAAGTTTTCATGTACAAAATTATAGCAGTAGCATACTTTACGTAAATTTTTGTTTTGTTGGGTAGCCAGTGCATAAATGAATACTTCATTTTTAATTTAATGTGAGTTAACAACTTCATTTTAATCCATAGCACTGGCTACCCAACAAAACAAAGAGCAAATTGTTGAATTAATATTGAATTTTTGACTCATCTCGACAAAAAAATGCTTTTTGGTTGGATATAATTTCTAATTACTCACCTAAAATACCATGCAATTTATCCGAGACAGGTAACTGACTGACAAGATCTCGGGACAACTGCTCGCATTCCAATTCTTCTTGCTTTTTCGGCCGAAGAAGTGGAGGAGATGTTGATTCAGTTCGAGAGTTAGGTGATGGCGTCCGCGCGGAGGACTCCGTTTGTGATGCAGCATCGCTAGTCGATGAGTTAATCCTAAGAATGACTTCTGATCGCTGGACCAGTTTCAATGGCTCACTGATACATTCGGCTAAACTACTTTCAGATTCTGACTCGAGATTGCATTGCGTTTCTGTACAAGTTTTTTGAGGCACTGAGTTAAGCTCTGCTTCACCTGTAACAAATCAATGGCACTGTTATTTTTAGCTTAACAATAAGAAATAGTTTGTAAGGCACTGCAAAGGGTGTTTAAAATTTCTCCTGAAACATGTGAGAATATAGACAATTCGATTTCCTAAAAAGAGTTAAATCATAGTGATTGGTTTTCTTGGAGTTGAAAATTCCATAACTTTTGGCGGATTATTCAGAATATTTGAAACATAAAATTTCGTGACTTTCCAATGTTTATTTTGGGGGGGGGGGGTNTTGATTATTTAAGGGAAATTATTTTCAGGAAAAATTTCGAGCACGAGGTCTCTTAAAACTGTGAAGAAGCAATATTTTGGCTGAGGGAAATAATTTAAGGTTCCAAGTCAAAATTTCCAGAATTCCGAGACTTTCCAAGACCTTATCATCCTGTAATTATTATTATGTATGTGAGTATGTATGTTATTAATCTTCCAACGATTCTGTAACTTCTTCCTAATGTAAAAATACCTATGAATATGAATAAGACCAGACATACATCAATTATTACTTGTATATTATTTTTAGTTGATCTATAAGGATCAAGCCTCAAAGTACGATTCTGGGACCTGCGCAACTCACCCATTCTAGCGTGTCAAGTGGTCAATATCGAGACAAGAGACCTTCCACTTGCCTCTCGGCGACAGGTGGAAGCTTTTACTTTCGGAGTTAACCTACCTACACGGTGGTGAGCTTCGGGTGACGTCATGAGCCAAACAACTTTCCCAAAACTTCGGCTTGTTTGCAAAACGAAACTGCCAACACATTGTTAACTATCAATCAAGTAGTTCGGTCAACGGTTGAATATTGAATTCCCGGAAGTAAAAGCTTCCACCATTGCCAAAATACTAGTGGAGGGCCTCTTGTCTTTAGGTCAATTTGTCTCTTGTCTCTGGGTCAATTGGATGATTTCTCAAGAAGAGGTACTGACCTTTGGTCTGCTGCGACTGGAGGGCGAGCGTGGGGAGGGGCTCGAGGGAGGCTGCGGCCGAGGCGGAGGGGGAGGGGGGGNAGGTCGTCCGAGGCGGAGGCCGACACCGACTTGGAGAGGCTCGACGTCGACTGCGACTGGACGTTGCGCGTCGTCGAGGGGTCCGACTGGGTCCGCGGCGTCCTCGCCACGCGCCGGCAGCCGCTCTCCGCGTACTTGGGCAGCGTCTGCGAGTGCTCCGGCAGGGGCGCGCCCCCCGTCACCCCCGACCCGGGCCCCGGCGCCACCCCCAGCTGACTCGTCGGCGTCGGCGTCGTCGTCGCCCCCCGCACCGGAGCCGCCTCTGGGCACTTGACCGCCGACAGCGGCTTCAGCTGGATCGTCACCTCTTCCTTCTCCGGTTCGGCTTCCGTCACTGCTGAAACAGGCAGAAACAGCCATCGTCAAAACCAAAAACCATGTTCTCCATTTGGACTGCATTTTGCAGTTTGGAACTATAATTGGACTGAGTTAAGCAGAAAGGAACCAACCCACATTTTGGAAAAAATTGAGTTATGAGTGGTTTTGAACTCAACCACTACTCTACTATCGATCGCCAAAAATTCAAAGTGTTCGTTTGAGCAAATTTTGCAGAAATTGAACTTATGCAGGAGCTAAACTTTAAACCTCTTTTTCTCGGTTCGATCCCGATGTGGCTTGGTTCCTTTCTGTTAAACGCGGTCCAATTCTGTCTCATCTGAAAAAACACGTATGTGCATAGGGAAACTAATGGCACATACGTTGTTTTTAAACCGGGCCGGAATTAATAGTTCCTAATTGCAAAATGTAGTCCATTTAAAAAATATATGGACGGAGATTTTCAAACAGCGCAAACGGGATACGTGGTTGCGGACTTACATATGTATTGACCACATTTTGCAATTCGGAACTATAATTTCTGGCTCATCTGTAAAAACACTTACGTGCATAGGAAAACGAATGGTACATACGTTGTTTCTCAACTGAGCCAGAAATTATACAGTAGACTCTGGATTATCCGGAATAATTGGTGCCGGGCCCGATCCGGATGAAAAAGAATTCCGGATAATAATAGTAAACACAAACACCACCAACCAACACCACAGTATTCTTATTATGTATACACCATGTACATACCAACACGAATTTAAAAAGTTAACGCCAAACTGAACGACTCAATGGTGATTGTGAATGGTAGCCGACAACGATAAATTACAATAAAACGATTAAAGCGCGCAATGCGTGAAGTATTCATGTCGTCTTGTAGCCGCTAATGTGCGTTTTAGGCTAACTAACCGACTGCACTGCGTTTGGCGTAATGCGAGAAGTATTTATGCAATCTAGTAGGCGCTAATGCGTTCCACGCCGACCTCACTGTTTGGCGCAATGCAGGAAGTATTCCTTCAGCCTTGCAGGCGCCAATATGCCTTGCAACCGCTTCTCCGCGGATCCCCTCGCTTATCAGAATGCGTACGTAGTTACATGGTTGCAAAATCGATCCGGATAATCCCGAGTCCGGATAATACAAAGCCGGATAATACAAAGCCGGAAAATCCAGAGTCTACTGTAGATCCAAATTGCAAAATGTAGTCCATATGTTATGTAATATTTTATTATCGATTCTATGAACTTTTTTCATTTTCATAGACCATGATAGATGTGGCAGGTACCCTCGCTTCTCCATGGTTAAAATCCGTCAAATTGCGTGATACAGTTGAGAGTTCTCTCATTTAATCGATATAAATTTTCATTTTGTTCTCTCAGTTCGTTCCAACAATTTTCGTGACTTTGCACGCGACTTGCCACGTATGTTACAGATTAGGAGCTTGCTACTTACGGAGGTTGTCGATCGAGTTGTTGTTATTGTTGTTGATGGAGACGTTGATTCTGGAGGGAGAAGATGTCCGCTTGTAGCTGCCCTCGAAGTTGGGGAGGCCTCGCTCGCGGTCCCGGGGTTCCCGCCGGTACGCCAGGTACGAGGCTTTTGATTGACTTCTGCAACAAAACAAAACAGAACGTCGTATTTAAATACGGATGCTAACACTTCGCGTTACAAGAGAACCTGTTTAAAATTGTAAAGATGCACACACTTGGATCGAAAATCATAGCTCAGCAGTGCTTATCCTTAGTTTATGCCAGGCTTCTCTTACACTGGAAAAAAAAACATTGAATCTAGAGTCCAGACTCTTGAAAACATTGACAAGAAAAAATACTCTTGATTCAATCAGATTTAAGCTTAAATCGAAACGAAATCCGCTTAAATTAAGAGGCTTGGTTCTTGATTTAAGCTAGATTCTGATTGAAACAAGAGTACTTTTTCTTGTCGATGTTTTTAAGCGTCTGGATTCTAGATCCAATGTGTTTTTTCCAGTGTATGCATAAAACACTAGGAAAAAGTCTCTTGGATCCAGAGCCTAGTCTAAAGACTCTTAAAAAATTTGACAAGAAATCCCTTGATTCTGTACTAATCCTGACTTTATGACAGCTTCTTTTACACGCATAAAACACTGGAAAAAAGTCTCCTGAATCTTGCGTCGAGACTTTTAAAAAATTTGACAAGAAAAAATTCCCTTAATTCGATCGGATTTTTGCTTGAATCGAAAACCAGGCCTCTTAATTCAATCGGATTTCCTTTTGATTCTTGCAAAAATCCGACTGAATCAAGAGTATTTTTTCCTGTCAAATTTTTGACGAGTTCGAACTCCGGATCGCCGGCCAGGTTGACCTAGTGGTCAGCGCGTCTGACTCTAGGTCAATAGGTCCCGAGTTCGGATCCCGGTAGTGGTGTCCGGAACTAAAACAGATCCTACTCGGCCTTGATCCCTAAAAAATTGAAAATCCTGGAGACTACGGCCAAAGGTAAGCCAACCTAGAAAGGGCTCCAGCTCTTGATAGAAAGAAAAAAATAAGAAGAAGAAAAAAAATCCAGATAGAAGATAATTTTCCTCCAGTGGACCTGCTTTCACAGCGCTCTCACGCGCAAATTGGCGAGAGGAAATTTGGACACGATGCAATGGAAATACATAGTGTATATAAGTAAACCAACAAGAAAAAAAAGGAGAAAAAAAAGCGCTATACTGCCACGACGGCACCACGCTGGGAAAAGGGGACTCGAGTTAGGTTGCCATATCGCATGAAAATATTTACATTTCTTACATTCAGTTGTGAGAGAAATTGCTTATTTTTAGCCAAAGTGGCAACCATAGACTCGAGTCACTTTTTGAGGCCAAGTTGGGTTTCGCCGCACAGGGAAGTTAACACGGAAACGGAAGGTGCACACACCTTACTAAGTAAAAACACTGAAAGGACATTCGAATGTTACCAGTGTTCCCTTCATAGAATATTAGTTATAAACAAAAATTGTGACCATTTGTTCTTCATCTTTTCAAATATTTTAGGCAAAACGTTGAATAAAATTCTTTGAAAAATTACGAGCAAACTTTCCACAAGTTATCCAGATGATTCGTCGTTTATCAAAGGAGACCTGGCGACGTATGTCAGCTCATACGTCGTTCTTCCTCACCACGCAACAGCGGTACAGGTGGAAGGGGGTGGGGGAGGAAACGCAGGGCGCTATCGGTCGTTGTCGTTGGAGGGTGGAGGGTGAGGGGGGAGTTCCGCTGTGGGTCCCTCACCTGTTATCGCAATGGTTACTCAAGCGAGACTCAGGAGGGTGGACTTGGCTCACGCAGGACACAAACCGACTATCAGCTTTGCCCCTTCTTGCGGGACGGATATAGCGGCTCATGCACTGAAAACAAATTCTCGGCGTTTTTACCAAGGTCCATTGGTACCTTTACTATCTCACTTTTTTTACCAATTATTGGTAATTTTACCAAGACAGACTGGCCAGCTTACGTAAAAACCGGTATTTTTACTGTTTTTTCAGGTAAGAATACCACTTTTATCGGTAATCAATTCCCGGTAACTTTGCCATTTTATCTCGGTAATTCTATACCACAATCGATAGAAAATATTGGCGTTTTTACCAAGGTCCAGTAAAATTACCGAGAAAGTTCAATAATTTTACCGAGATTTCTCGTAAAATTACCAATTCCATAAATGGTAATTTTACCAAGAAAAAACTGGGATCAAATGGAACCCTGAATTCTTGGTAATTTTACCCTTTTCTTAGTAAATACACCGAGATTTTTTTTCAGTGTCTTTACCTTAGCACCCACCAAGGCCGCGCAAGCTCATAATTAGAATAATCATCTAAAAAATTCAAGAATTTCCTAGGCGTCAAGTGGTTAGCCGTTACTTCCTGATTTTCAAGTATAGAACTTTTTCGTTTTTTTACACAGAAAAAAAAAACAACTTCGGCCCTGGAAGCCATATTTACGGGCTATATAGACATACCGTCCGCGTTCGGGGCTCGAAGGCCGGATGTTCCGAGCGTAGCACCCGGAGCAATCGAAGCTACGGCTCCAGCACCCGTAAGTTGCGGCCTCTTCGCCCGGAACGGGCGGTAAGTCTATATAGCCCGTAACTCCTTTTTTCGGTGTAATTGTAGGTATTTTTGTAGATGGTTTCCTTGATTTCCCCGAAACCCAAAAAATTCCCTGGTATTTCCCGGTTCTCCCGGTCGCGTGTTAAATAATTAAAAGCTCTTGAAATTTGGGCGAAATTTCAAAATTTTGAACTTTTCCTAATGACCATTCATGTATGCCTTAGGCAAAAAAAATTATGAGGTAGACTTCTGTGGAAGCATTTTAGCTTCAAAACGAGACCAAGAAAATGAATATCGGACACGTAGTTTCCGAGATATAGCGTGCTGAAAAAAACGCTTGGCTCCTGCAGAGTGCTTCCCCCTTTAGATGAGCTTCTTATGACCATAAGAATTGGACGGCATTTTGCAATTTGGAACTATAAATTCTGGCTCATCTGAGAGGCACTTATCTACATGGGGAAACTAATGGCACATACGTTATTTTTAAACCGGGCCAGAATTTATAGTTCCAAATTGCAAAATGCAGTCCAATTATCCCTGAAAGCGGCAATTTCCAATAAAAAAGTGCAGGGTTTTTTTTTGTGTATCCCACGGACTAACCAGTGGCGTGGCGTGAATTGCGATATATCGATTGTTATGCCATTTAAACCTATGGAAAAGGATCGAGAAACAGGGTGTTCGCAGCGAACACCTTAATAATCGATTCTTTACCATAGGTTTAAATGGCATAACAATCGATATATCGCAATTCACGCCACGCCACTGGGACTAACACCCTGCGATCGGGCCGCAGTTATGGGCAGTGGCGTGGCGTGAAGGATCGATTATCGATATATCGCCATTTGAAGCTATAGTAAAGAATCGATTTCTCAGGTGTTCGCTGCGAACGCCCTGATAATCGATCTTTTTCCATAGGTTCAAATGGCATAACAATCGATATATCCCAATTCACGCCACGCCACTGGTTATGGGCCCTTGCCCCGTGACCCACCTTAAGGGAAGACCGATGAAAGAGGGAACGCTGATCTTGAGGGCAGTTGCCGATTACTGATCGGAGTCTGCGGTATCAATGCCCCCTGCGCCCCTGCTGCGCCCTGGGAATCGAACCTCGACCAGGCTGGTCACGTTCGATGTTCGGCCCTGCCCCGTTTGGCTCAGATGCATCACGCCGCGCCGCTCTTGTTATGCAACCGGTGCGACCTCACCCCCGCCCATCAACGTGATACGCAGCGAGCGCCATTTTGCAGTCCTGAGGAAAAACGCCGTAAGAGCCTTCGGAAGTTGCCGAATTTATTTTGATAGGATGAAAATTTTCTCGGAAATTCGTTGGAAACTTTCCCCCAAATTTTAAGCGAATCTTGTGCGCAATTGGATTTAAAGTACCTGAAAATTCCAAGGAAAAATGCCTGTCATTTTCCTCAAAAATAAATATGTTATTGGGGGAAGATTTGGCAACGTTCAAATGTTCGTATGGCGTTCTTTCTTAGCACGGCAGCAATAATTGCTTTGCACGCCTACCAGATTTTGTGAAATTGCCGACTTTTAATTGATGAACCATGTTTTCGCCATCAAAGTTTTGTTCCTCCTTTGACGTAAGGACGTAACTAAGTTTTGACATGAGCCCTAACATACATTTAAATCTATGCTTTCTACGGATCATATCAGTAGGTAGAGGTGCACCCTTACGTCAGAGAAGGGACAATAATAAGTTAAGATGAAATTTAGCCATTGGAATCATTTCAAAAACACCAACACATTTTGGTTGCCTGAACCAAAGTTCGAAAAATTTTGCTATCTAAGCCGAAAATATTAGGTGGCCACGGAGATCGAAGTTATATTGTATTGCCTACGTAACGTGAGCTCGCGCTCCCTCCCCTTCATGTTGCTCTCATTACCTTCCCAAAAACGACGGAAAATTGCGGGCTGATTATTGAATTTGATGGACAAAGCGATTAACCATTGGGACAGAATGGTATGGGGCGATCCTATTAGTGAAAACGGCTGGTTGCAGTAGACAAAGGTTGGTTAAGTAATAGACTAACTAACGGCAACCAACGAAAGACCCTGCAATTAGTCTATCATTTCCCTCTTTAGTCTATAGGAACCACCCGTTTCAACAAAAAGGATTGCTCCATCCTCCCTAAATCTTCTCTGCCTGTATAGATTTGTCTATAAATTTCAAAAATCAGCCCGCAGGGTTTAATGCGGTAATTTTATGAACGATTTGGAGGTTGAACGTGAGTGAGCGATTAATCAAGGAGATGGCTTGTTTTCGCGCTGGGCGTTTGATTCGCTTCGCGCATGCGCACTGAGTCTGTTGGTGGGCGGGCAAAGCGCGTCGGGTCAAGCGAAATTAAGTTCAAGGTAATCCTAGCATCAGCATTAATGCACCGGAGAGAGCAGACCGGCTCAAACCTTCATACTGTGGAGACAGCAAAATTTACTCATAGTCAGTGAAATTCCTATTATTAACGACTGTTAGAAAGACTTTTGAAACATTCGTGAATTTTTAGAAGAAAGCTGTTAAGGAACTTAAAACTTTCCT